CGGTCATCGCGGTCGACCGCAAGGCAACGACAGAAACAAACAATCCTACAGGGTTTGACCAGTCGACCGCACGTGACGCCGCAGTCGACCGCCAAATGTCCAGAGACCTCCCAGGTCTTGTGCACGTTTCCGGTCGATTGTACGTAGCTGATCTCGCGATCGACCGCGAAACTTCCTGGCAGTTTTTCTGTCGTTTTTCCTGAGCTTTCTTTAACTGTTCACCAATCCTTCAAATCTCCACATCGGTGAAGTTTCTTCCAAAACTGAGCCGATATCAAATCATCCAAACGTCCCACTTGTTGTGTCCAGGATAAAGTGGAAACAACCCACGACAACGGACTCAATCCACAACAAGTCGGGAACCCAAAAGAGAGCTCAAACAATCTCCCCCATCGAAATCAACAAATCCAACCGGTTGCATCAAAAAGACTGCCTACATAGCCTCTTGCCCAAGGAATCAAACCAAATGTAGTTCACCCAAATGGCCTCCAAAGACCCTCAATATTGAAGAATATTCAATAGCTTCAAACAATGACCAAATTTCACACCTGAAATAACTTTGGTCAACATATTCGCAAGGTTGTCCTTCATGTGGATCTTCTCAAATATGACGTCTTCATCATCCAAAACGTCACGAACAAAATAGAATCTGACATCAATATGCTTCGTGCGTGCATGATAAACCTGGTTCTTTGCCAAATAGATAGCTGACATGCTATCACAATATACCCGAAAGGTCTCCTATGCAATCCCTAAGTCCTCTAACAATCCATGCAACCGCAAAGCCTGCTTTACAGCTTCAGTCACCGCCATATACTCCGCCTTTGTAGTAGAGAGAGCCGTTATAGACTGAAGTGTACATCTCGAACATACTGGTACTCCTGTCAATGTAAACACATAACCTAAAGTAGACAGACGCTTGTCAAGATCCCCCGCATAATCTGAATTCACGTAGCCAATACAATCCTGCCAATTCTTCTTATCCTTCTGAAAAATCAAACCAACATCCATGTTACCTTTAACATATCGTAAAATCCATTTCACGGCCTCCCAATGACCCTTCTCGGGGTCATGCATGTACCTCGATACCATGCTCACGGCCTGTGATAAATCTGACCTCGTACACACCATCACATACATCAATCTACCCACCGCACTGGTATATAGAACTTTCGACATGTAATCTCTGTTCTCAACTAAAACAGGTGATATATTAGCTGAAAGCTTGAAGTGGGGAGCCAATAGAGTGCTAACTGCTTTTGCATTGCCATCAAACCTGAATTTCTTTAACATTTTCTGCAAGTAACTCCTATGTGTAAGCTTCAATCTCCTATTCACTCTGTCTCTCTCGATCTACATACCTAATATCTTCTTAGTTTCTTCAAGATCCTTTATCTCAAACTCGGATGATAGCTCATCTTTCAACTTTCGAATAGCCGAAGAATTCCTGGAAACAATAAGCATATCATCAACATATAATAGCAAATATATGTACTCACCATCTTGTAGGTTGTGCATGTAAACACATGGATCATAAGAGCTCCTTGTGTACCCCTGACCAATCATGAAGCTATCAAATCTCTTATACTACTGTCGTGGCGATTGCTTCAAACCGTAAAGAGACTTCTTCAGCTTGCACACCAAATCTTCCTTTCCTGCAGCTTTGAATCCCAAGGATTATATCATGTAGATCTCCTCATCTAAATCTCTGTGTAGAAAGGCTGTCTTAACATCTATCTGGACCAAATCCAAATCCAGCTATGCCACAAATGCTAATAAAATCCGAATCGACGAATGCTTCACAACGGGTGAAAATACCTCGTTGTAATTAACGCCCTCAAGCAGTGCATATCCATTGAGAACAAATCTAGCTTTGTACCTAATATTCCCAGTAGAAGATCCTTTTTTCTTCGCATATATCCACTTGTAACCAATAGCTTTTTTTATCCTTAGGTAGCTTTGCAAGTTCCCAGGTGTCGTTCTTCTGAAAAGACCGCATCTCCTCCTCCATAGCTTCCCTCCACCTGATCGAATTAGAGCTAGACTCTACCTCCCTGAATATAGAAGAAATCATATCATCAACGACCTCCACTGATAATATATATACAACAATGACATCATTATTTCTAGCTGGCCGACGAATCACCCTTCTAGGTCTATTTGCTACAATAGACTCCTGAACATGACCCTACTCCTGAGTCTCACCATCCACTATATCCTCTAAATACCCCACTATCATCCCATCCCCTCCTAGTGTCACCTTTGTAGGAGACTTAATGGGTACAATGCTATCTGGAATGGGTGGAGTCACATCATCCTCTACCTACTGTGATATCTCTCGAATCTGGTCTTCCTCCACCTACCGAGGAACTTGAGGCCTCATTATGTATGCCTCATCAAATATGACATCTCTGCTAATGACTATCTTTTTGTCCTGTGGATCCCATAACTTGACCCCTGTATCACAGTGCACAACAACCTGTTCACGAGATTACTCGTATAAACCAACATCTCAGCCCAAAAGGATCTAGGCAATCCACTCTGTATCATCATACATCGCACCTTCTCCAGCAAGGTACGGTTCAATCTCTCAGCCACCCTATTCTGTTGCAGTGTCTCTCGAACTGTGAAGTGTCACCTAATGTCGTGATCCCGATAAAACTATAAAAATGGATCACTCTTATACTCTTCACCGTTATCTGAACGAAGAGTTTTCGCTTTTCTACCTGTCTGCAGCTCTACTTTCTTCTTCCGCTCCACAAGAATATCCAGGACCTTATGTTTATGCTTCATAGGGTATACCCAATTCCTCCTAGAATAGTCATCAATGAAAATAACAAAATAATTGGTCTCACCAAGTGATGTGTGCTTGGAAGGACCCCAAGCATCTGTGTGAATATAATCTAATATACCTTAGATGTTGTGAATAGTGGTGTCAAACTTCACTCTAGTCTTCTTCCCAAGTACACAATGCTCACACAGCTCCGTCTTGCAGGTCTTAGCACCTTTCAATAGCCCATGTTTCGCTAATGACTGTAGAGACTTATCACCAGTATGTCCTAATCTCATGTGCCATAGATTGGTAGCATCCTCCTCTGTAGTGATAGAAGCTGTCAGACCCCCTGTAATTGTGTTACCCTTCAAGTAGTATATAAAGTTTTCCCTGACTCCTCACATCACCACCATTGAACCCTTCATGACCCTCATAGTAGCATCCTCTAAGGTCACCCGATAACCTGCTGTCTCCAAAGTACCAAGAGAAATGATGTTTTTCGTCAACTGCGGCACGAACCTCACTTCTTTCAACTCCCTAACCACACCATTATGCATCCTGATCTGGACTGAACCAATACCACCAATAGAGTATACGTGGTCATTACCCATAAGCATAACATCCCCTCTTTCCAGCTCTTTAAAGCTGGAGAACCAATCCCTTCTCGGGCAAATATGATATGTGGCTCCTGAATCCAACATTCACTCCGTGGAGTCGACATAGAAAACCGATGGTAGTGCAGGACACGAATAGCCTGAAGAATCTGAATCTGAATGTTCACCAACAGCTTTTGTAATATTCACTTCTGAAGCTTGTATAGCTTTCCCCTTATTCTTTTCGGCTTTGTCTTTCAACTTTGGGCAGTCAATCTTCCAATGTCCCTCTTCTTTATAAAAAAGACATTGATTTCTAATAACACTTTTATAGCCACCTCTATTCTTCGATTTTGAGCGGCTGGCTTGGCGGCGGTTTGGACTACGGCCTCGAACTGCTAATGCATCTCCCGATGCCTTCTCGGAGGGTTCACCATCAATCTTCCTCAACTCATAATTCACCAACACCGAGGTCACCTCCTTGTAGCTAATAATTATTCTTCTATTGATCATAGTGAGAACGAACATACCATAATCATCTTCTGGTAACGAACACAAAACTAGCATCGCCTTGTCTTTATCCTCAACCATGATGTCCACATTGGCCATATCTGAAAGTAGCTTCATGAAGTTGTTAACATACTTCCTAATAGAAACTCCCCTCTTTATCTTAAACTAATAAAACCTCTTCTTCAAGTGGAGCCGATTCTCAATGCTCTCCGTAAGGTACTTTTCATTGAGCGTTTCCCATAATCCCTTTGTCGACATCTTGTTTATCACATCATAAATAAGATCCGGTATTAAGCATGACCGAATAACTCCATAAGCCCTACTATTCATCTTCTTCCAAACCTTATCTTCCATGTCAACATGTTTCTCTTGTAACTCAAAAGTCTCCTTTAAATTTTGTGCATTCAACGCATCCATCACCTAGCACCTCCACAAACCGAAATTGAACTTATCGTCGAACTTCAAAATATCAATCTTCTTATTATTGATGCTCAGACATTGTATCGCCTTTGTAAGAGACGAACCTAATATGCTTGCTTCTCCCATGTTATCGATCTAACTCTTTAAATAGAAATCCTTCAACGAATCCTTCGAACAAGCCTTAAGCCAAACCCGAAGCTCTGTTACCACTTTTTGTACGTAGCGGAACTCTAATCACATGAACAAGAACGAGGTAGATCACAACTAAACACAAGCACAAATCACAATCTCAGCAAGACAACGAATTTTACGTGGTTCGGCAAGTTACCTACGTCCACGGGTCAAGGAGGGGGGAGTTTGTACTATTAGAGATGAAGAGAATATACAATAGGGTTACAAAACTCACTCAAAAACCCTCAAACAAAGCTCTCTAAATCTCTCATCAATCTCCCACAATTTGATGCAACAACCATCTCTCAAAGACTGCTCAAAACGTCCTTACTTAACCCTAGTTAATCATATTTAGGGTAATATACAAACAACAAACAAAACGGGTCAAAAACCCAAAGCCCAGCTCAGACCCGAGTCAAGGTTGACCGCCGCGGTCATCACGATCGACCGCCGCGATCGTCACGGTCGACCGCAAGGTAACGATAGAAACTAAAAATCCTATAGGGTTTGGTCGGTCGACCGCACGTGACGACGCGGTCGACCGTAAAAAATCCAGATACCTCTCAGGTCTCGTGCACATTTCCAGTCGACTGCAGCTGATCTCGCGGTCGACCGTGAAATTTCTTGGTAGTTTTTTTTATCTTTTTTCGTGAGCTTTCTTCAACTGTTCTCGCCAATCCTTTAGTGGGTTCAGCCCAAGATAAGGCCCACATAAGGTTCACATGAATTAAAATTCTATCTAGATGAGAATTTGGATGATCTAATTATAATAGGAATAGATTTAGAGAATTCTATTTATAAGAACCCTGTAATTATTTTTTGTGAATAGTAACTGCTACAGTAACCGATGAACAGTAACCAACAAGAAGATAGGGGGGAGAGAGAGAAAGTAAAATTCCGGATAGCTCGGTTGTCTGATTGTAGTGATTCAAAAACCATTGTCTTTAGAATGACGATGTCATCAAGGGTACGGTCCTGGTATCTCTGTGAGTACTGGAGATTTTTAGTAAGACGGGTTTTAGGGTTTTGATGCCCTAGAGGTAACTGTATTTTCTCTTGTGATTTAGCTCTCAAGTTCAGGTGTAAGTTGGATGGATTATACTCTTGATTCATAGTGAAATATTTTACTCCGAATTGTCCCGTGGACGTAGGTACGATTTGTCGAACCACGTTAAATCTTGGTGTTTGCTTGCTTGTGGTATTTTCATTGGTGTCGTTATTCGTTTAGTGTTTAATTTAGCAGATTAATCTCCATAAAATCCCTAACAATAAGTATTGGGAAAGAGATGGAGGTGTAAACTATATTTTGAATTACAGTGATAATCTCACCTGCACATTATCAGTGCAAATCGATGAGGAAATAGAATGCACAAATTAACCCATAATGGTAATAAATATCAGATACAATACTCACCAGTGGCTCAAAATCAGGACTGGACAAATTGATGGTTAGATTTTTCGCCAGTACCAGAGCCTACAAGAAGCAAAGAAAGATGATCATGCATTCAAAGCACCCGTAAAAAGCAAAATGCCTATTACTAAGCAAAAGAATATAGATATTTGTGTTGGGAAGTTTAAGCTATTTGACCACCTATCAAATATGAACCCTCATGCGGAATTTACCCTACCGGGTCTTATGTTAAGACAATAGAAAAAATAAATTACAGAAAATTAAAAAATTATAAGAAAAAGAGAACATCGAGTTTTAACGAGGTTTGGCAACTTGTCTACGTCCTCGGGAGCCACACAAATAATTTTCTTTAATATTAAAAAAGATTACAAGCTTGCAAAGAGAAGATCTCGAACTTGAGATCTCTCAAAAGAGAAGCAACATAAACTATTTGTTCTTATTTCAAGGCGTGTGATTTTCCAACAGAAAAAATCTCCTCTCAAAATCGCTACAGGAACTCTCCTTAAATAGACGAGTTCATGTAGATTTCTTCCTTTCCTTTCCTTTCCTTTCCTTTCCTTCCTCAGTGAAGCCAACATGTTGTTTCATGTAGATTTCTTTATCCAAGTTACCATGAAGAAAACCGTGAAGAAAGACAATCTTCATATCTAACTGCTCAAGGTAGACATTCTTAGCAGATACCAAACTCAACATCACCCTGATGATTGTGAGCTTCACAACGGGGAAAATATCTCCATATAATACACTCATTCCCGCTATTGGAACCCCTTCACGACTAATCTGGTATTGTATCTCTTCCTTCCATCACTCTCCTGCTTGACCCGATAGACCCACTTGTTATGTAAGACTTTCTTCTGTGCAGATAGCGGGGCTAACTCTCATGTCTCATTAGAGTAAAGAGAATCCGTCTCTTCTTGCATTGCATGCTCCCACTGCCAAGATTCGCTCACTTGCATAGCCTCATCATAGTATTTTGGTTCTCCGCTATCTATCTAAAGTAGGTAGTCTAGTGACAAGAGATACATGAGATTCGATTTGGATACCCGGATGACCTCCTAAGCTCCTCGCCCTAGGTGTTTGCGGTGAAAGTTGCTGTTTTCATTGCTATCGAATCTATTACAACTTTAGTCGTTACAATAAACTCAAATAAAAATAAAGTTGATCTTTTTATAAGATCTCTTTACACAATAAAAAGTTTACAACTTTATCAAACAAACACAGAGATCGTTTATCGGTCTTCTGCTTGCGTGGGATCTTTGCCTGTGCCGGGGTTTATCTGTGGACCACCGTCGATCAGATCTGATTACTGAAAAATTGGGCAGAGCTTCGTCTATCTGCGAAGGGATCGAGAAACCGTAGCTCTTATCTCGGCGAAGCGAGATAATCACTCTTTTTAAGATTACCACAACGGGATAATCCTAAGGAACGAACCGGTCTGCAGATCTAACTCCTCCTCCTCTCTGAAATCTGTGCACTTTAAGTCTTCAGTTCAGCAGCGTTCCAGACTCGTTTCTTTTATAGAAGAGGCTGGAATACTTTGGATATGATTGGTCCAGCCTCCGATTAGTGTAAAGGACCTGTAGTTAGCTTCAACTCTTGGCTCTTTCGATTTTCAGTCTATTCGATGCTTTGACAAATAGCTGAAATCCTTCCGACGCCGTGTTTATCGTCTGGCCGTCGACGAAGTCTCAAATCTAAAACTGATGAGTTGAGTTTGGATCGTGTCATTGAGTTGACTTTGAACTGACTATCTCCGTCATGATATATTGATTCGTGTTGACTTTTTGATCGCAACGCGTTGACCGGCGTTGACCTAGGGTTACGCGTTGACCCTAGGGTTTCGAACGTCGTACGTTGACACAGTTTATACTCGTACGTTTACTGGAGTATACACAGTTTAAGCTCTTAAGGTATTGGAGCATGGCGGTCCCAAATGTTGGGGCTGTAGGACCAACTGTTAAAGCTGATTCATCTGCATATGTGGATTTTATCCTGAATTTGTTGGATGCTCAAGTCACGAGACCAACTAGTGGAGCTGGTGCATCAATGACTCGCATTTATAGAATTTTTAGTAAATTCTCAGCTATCAACGGGTTTGATGAGCCTTTACCGACTACTGTTTGAGTCGGGCTAGCATGCAGATTGTTTAGATCCGTTCTACACATAACGTTGTGCTAAAAGAGTTAACTGTTTTAGTGCTACGACATTGAATACGTAGACTTCGTCTTTCTCACGGGAATAGACTACCCGGTAACGCGTGTTAGGCGCTGACTTATCCTTACTTAGTATTCAGGATAAAAATCCCCAGACTCGGATTCTGGTGTCTTCTTCAATCGGTAAAAGACTAAACCGGCAACGCGTGTTAGGCGTTGACTCATCCCTACTTAGGCTTCAGGATAAAATTCCCCATGCGTGTGAGGCACGGATTATGGTGTTATTAATAACAACCTACCACAATGTTGAATATGTGGTCTTTTGTCCTTTTTACGGTCAAAGACTAACCGGCAACGCGTGTTAGGCGTAGGCTTATCTCTATTTAGGAGTCGAGATAAAGTTCCCCGTGCGTGTAAGGTAGACCTTGGTGTCTTTTTCAATCGGTGAAAGACTAAACCGGCAACGCGTGTTAGGCGTAGGCTTATCTCTATTTAGGAATTGAGATAAAATTCCCCGTGCACAAAGTGCACAGATTGGAAGTTGGGAATTGTGTCTTTTCTTAGAGTAAAGACGGACTGGAAACATGGAAGAGGAAGAATTTTATATTCTATCTCCCAGTACCTGAAGAGAAGAGTAAAGACGGACTGGAAACATGGAAGAGGAAGAATTTTATATTCTATCTCCCAGTACCTGAAGAGAGAGAATTTTATATTCTATCTTCAGTAGGAAAGGAAACTCAAGGTGGGATCTCCACCCTCAGAATCCGAAGAGATGAAACTAAGAGTGGGATCTCCACTCCAAGAATCGGAAAGATTCAAACGACCCTAACTTTTATAGGGTTGGCCATTTGATCCCAAAAAGAATCTCTCATTTATTGAGGAGAAAGCCCAATTTCGACCCTAACTTTTATAGGTTTGGTGGAAAAAGGAACAGAGGCAGATTTTCGTTTATCGAAAAGGAATGACTCGGTCTTAGTCCTAACTATTTATAAGCTTGACTAAGTGAGATTAGGAACAGTCCTAACTTTCATATGTTTGATTGTTCGAGTTGAAAGTGGACCTCTCGTTCATGGAAGGAATCGAGAGGGGACTTTGGTTGTGGTCTTAACTATAGGAGGGTTTGACCAGGTAGACAGTGAGAGTGGGAGTACAAATCATAGTGGGAGTTTAGTGTTTATCACTTTGTTCGTAATTATCGGGTTATCCTTAAGAAAATTACATATAGCGTTCTTCTGGAAACTTCCCATTACATGAATCATCCACCCCCAGCTTCTTTCTTGGAACTGGGTCTGACTTTGTACTCCGTTACATGTCCGGGTTATCCTTAAGAATATTAGCATAACATTCTCCAGGAACTTCCCATCAATGGTAGGAAACAGTTTAGACTCATATACCTATTGGAGTATCAGGGAGCAGTTTAACCTCATATACCGATTGGAGGATTGAGAAGCAGTTTATACTCTTATACTTGTTGGAGTCTAGGAAGGAGCAGTTTATACTCTTATACTTATCGGAGTGATGCCGTTCTTATTTGGCTTATCCTAGCATTATGACGCCGGCTTCAACCAAGGTTTGGATGCTATTCTTTAAAGTAAAGCAAGCCTTTGTAGGATGAAGGATCCTCCTGTGGTACGCGTAGTACTTCGGATCTGTAGTATTGTCAGCTTCCTCCTGATTTGTGATGGGCGGCAGCTTGATCTTGTTGTTTTCAAGAAGGGTCTCGAAGATGGCTGGAACGTCTTCGTCTTTGAATGAGTACTCTTTTTGGAGCCTCGGATCCGAACTATTCTACTGTCTTCGGGACTGCTGTTGTGACGTCTGATTAATGTCAACAACTGTTGTAGGTGTCTTCCCTTCATTATGGGAAACGAGACTCGGATTCAGAGGGTTAATCATCGGTTGGCATCTTTCAACCTTCCTCCTTCTAAGGAATCGTTCGGCCTGCTCTCCACGCACCTTCAACTCTCTCCAGGTATTGAGTGGCTCTACTCCCATAACGTCCAAGATGTTAATAGACAAGTTGTTATAACAGGTTTGCAAGACGAATTCCTCCGTGACGGGATCCTTACAGTTCATTGCCTGATTGCGAAAGCGTTTGATGAAGGCATCCACCGACTCTCCGTCTTTTTGTTTCTCATCGAAGAGTGTCCTGATCGACACTTCGGCGTCATCATCGAAGAAATGAGCGAGGAACATGCTCTCCAGGTCCTCCCAGCTGTTAATGTTTTCGGGCTTGAGACGGCGGTACCAATTGAAGGCGGGCTCGCGAAGGGTGCCAACAAATGACCGGACCATCAGAGGCTCGTTGCCAGAGATCACTCCCAAATGAGACTTGAAATAGATCAGGTGCTGAGTGGGGGAACCCTTCTCGTCGAACGACGTGAAGTTGATCAGGTTGAACTTCGCCGGATACGGAATTGATTCCCATTCTTTCGGGTAAGGACACGGAATGCCGGTTTTCTTTACCTTTTGAGCAGACATTAAAGCATTAATTTTTCTCTCGAGATCCTTCATCTTTTCGTCCTCATCTATATCCTGTTTTGGGCAATTTTCGATAGGAATAATGCGACCACCCCCAGTGTTATCATCGTTGGTGAGTCCACCCCTAGCGTCGTTATTTTTAGTGGGGCCACCCCCAACGTTGTGTTCATCCACATCTGAATCGCTACCTGCTTGGTTAGCAGTGCTGCGACGGCTGGATTCACCTAGCTGATTCGACAAAGGTCGGACTTGTTGGTCGTACATTTGTCTCATCTCCTGCATAGCCATTTCCATTTTAATTTTGAATGCTTCTTTCTGCTTGGCTAGAGCATCCTTAATGATTTTGGCTATTTGCTCGGTGTTGACCATAAACACTTCCCGAGCTTGTCCTATGCTAGACGTTGTATCGTCAGAGGCGATTGCAGAATA